AGAACTAGAGCCTGTTACTCAGGTGCTGTCCTGGGCTCCTTGGCTTCTAAACTCATCTGCCTTATCTGTCAGGCGGCCTTGCCAAAGGGTGGCATGGTCCCTGGCAACTCCTCCCTCTCCACTCCAACACAGTCGGTGTGTGCACAGCCTAGATGCCCAGCCTTCCCTGCCAGATCTCCAGGTCCTCCTCACCTGTGTCTTCTCATATTCCACTCTCCATGAGTTCTTACCCTGAGCAAGCCTGTTCATCTCCCTCAGCATGGGGGTTTTTGCTTTGTTGCTGTTTTGATACTGCTTGCCCTGTGTTGTGTTGGCTATTTGTTAGTTACCTGTTTGACATCTTCGTTCACTCAAAAAACTTTGAATTTGAGCACATATCTCATGCCTACTACCAGCTAGGCTGCAGAGTTCAACAAAATGGAGCTTGTAAGTCAACAGAAGAAAATAAATGAGCCCAGTCTTCCCAGATGGGGGAGGGAGAGCTAAGCAGGGCGGTACCCACATTCCTGCCCTCACATCCCAGGGGAGTTGGCAGGGGGATGCTGTACAGTTCCTTGCATACAGTGGCTGCTCCTTCAAGATCATGCTGATTTGAGTTGACTGAAGAGAGGAGACTTCAGACAAGGAGAAGGATAAAGGGACTAGGAGAGGACCCTAGCAGAGATAGTTCCTCTGGAGATATGGCTGGCCTGCAAGGAGTGGTTTTGGGGGTGGACCTCCTGGGCCTCCCCTAACCTGAGCACCCAGCTTTACCAGGCTCCTTAGAAGCAAGGACAAGTGAAGGGAGGTAAGTCTTTGTCAGAGTTGCTGTTGAGCTGTAAGGTTAATCGAAATAAGAAAGAAGGGTCTTCATCTGCCTTTGTTATTGGAGGAAGCTGAAGGGAACATATACACCTTTTTTCACATTGAGTCCCTTTGAGGCAGAAGCAGGATTGCCACAGTTCAATTGGCTAGTTCAAGGGAGGGTCCTTATTAGAGCTACTTCCGTTACTCTGGAGAGGCCAGGTGTTAGGGAACCTTGCATGCACTCTTGGGATATTGTGAAGCTTGGGTGTGGGTAGGAAAGCTACCCTCAGCATGGCACTAGCCTCTGACTTTGCCAGGTGGGCCTTTTCCTGATCTTTCGCATCAAGTAGGTTCTTGTTCCCAGCAAAGGCTAGAAAATAGCTCCTCCTATACACTATTTGGTCACAGATTGATTAGTCACAGATAAAACATTCTGGTTTCTTGAGTGTTGGTCCACCTACTTCATGATCCTACTTGGTCTACCCTTTTTCGCCCGAGAAGAAGCAGACCAGGCCCACTAGTGGTGGCCCTGTGATTTGCAAAGCTCTTTGTTCCCTAGTGAGCACATGTACTGAGGTGCTGTTTGGTGCCAAGTGAGAGGCAGGGCTGTAGGTTCCCTGAAGGAACTTGATACCCCAAATGAGCATCCTTTACAGAGACCTCTAGTAAGACCTTTACTAGCCTTGCCAGCTTGCAGAAGTAACCAGAGGGCACTGTGTAGACACAGAAGTGACAGTGGTTAGTTCCAGAAGAGTGAGACAGCCGTGCAAAAGAGACGCTGGAAGTACAATGGCCTGCACAGGTGATTGGAATTAACTAAATTGTTCTGGTTATTGTGCTGATGTAGGAGCAGGGTTCCCCTAACCCTAACCCTTCTCTCTGTTTCTTTTCTCTCTTAAAATTTTTTAATGATTTCCACTAACCATCCAAATGTTTGACAGGTATTTCTGCTTTAAAAGACGTCCCAGTTAGCCAGGCATGGTGGTACATGCTTTTTATCCAGAGGCAGGTGAATCTCTGTGAGTTTCAGGCTAGCCAAGGCTACATAGCAAGACCCTGTCTCAATTCTCCACCCTTGCCCCCCACAAAAAAAAAAAAAAAAAAAAAAAAAAAAAAAAAAAAAAAAAAAAAAAAAAAAAGGGAAGAAAGAAGCTCCAGTTGCTTGGGAAACTTTGCTTTGTAGAAGGGCTTATTCCTTAGTAAAACAATGTGCAAAACCTTAGTGTCCTTGACACCATTGTTACATATACAACTGAGAATGAACACCTCCTGAAGGGCAGAATGAAGTTAACTACCTGTGTCCCTGGAAGTTTATTTTTAGTGGTCTCCCATTTATAAAAACTACAACCCTTGTGATAATTGGAGTACTAGCAGAGATGACAGGAAGATGTTCTGTCAGGGGGTTGGAGTGTTTTGTAACTGACCATCTGCGTTGCGGAGGAACCTGAGTCATGATGGTCTGTTTTTTACTTAGTGGTTGACAGGGTTCAGCAACTTTTCCGTAAAGACTCAGAGTAAATACTTAAGACTTGTATGTTGATACAGCCCACACCTTAGCTGGGCAGCTCTCCATCATAATGCTGAAACCAGCAGAGGAAATCTGTAGGGGTGAGTTTAAATGTAACTAGAGCACAGGTGATAAACATGCAGATCTACTCAGTGGAAGAATGCCTGCCTCTGGAGAGTACTTCTCTTCTATTGGCCTTTTGACTCCTTGTGCCATATTGGCTCTTTATTGGATTTGGGTTGTAGTTGAATGTAATTCAGGGTTTTAGAATTTGCTGGGTGTAGCATGAATCTTAAAGGTACTTATTAATAAAATCAAACCTGAGGCCAGTTATTGGGGTGAATGCTGGAAGATCAGAGAAGCAGAACAAGCCACAGCTTCCTCACCTTGCCAATTCCTCAGGTGATCCTGTTTCCTCAGACTGGATGCCTCTCAGCTGAACTGTGCTGCTCAAAGCCTAAATGCTTAACCAGCCAAAGGCTTCTAGTTCCTGGTCTTCACGCCTTATATACCTTTCTGCTATCTGCCATCACTCCCTGGGATTAAAGGCTCACTTCTTGGGATTAAAGGCGTGTGTCACCATGCCTGGCTGTTTCCAGTGTGGTCTTGAACTCACAGAGATGCAGAGGGGTTTCTGCCTCTGGAATGCTAGGATTAAAGGTGTGAGTGCCACTATTTTCTAGCCTCTATTCTTTTCTTTGACCCCAGATAAGTTTATTAGGGTGCACAATATTTTGGGGAACACAATACCACCACAACTGGGCACAGGTCAGTTCCCAGACATTCTTTTTTTTTTTTGGGTTTTTCGAGACAGGGTTTCTCTTGTGTAGCTTTTCGCCTTTCCTGGAACTCACTTGGTAGCCCAGGCTGGCCTCGAACTCACAGAGATCCACCTGGCTCTGCCTCCCAAGTGCTGGGATTAAAGGTGTGCGCCACCACCGCCCGGCTTAGTTCCCAGACATTCTTGGTCTGCAGTTTCCTAGTGTCTGTTCAGTGCTTCAGAAGGTGAACTTACATCTTTTAATGCCTTTATGTTGTTCAGGCAGCACTGAAGTGTCACTCTCCTCCAGAGAGCAAGAATAAGATTGCTCTGCTGGAAAATCCTAGTGAAGAGACATTGTGTCACTCTGCCTGAGAAAGTTACTTACTCTTCCTATGTCACAACACTGTTCCCCAGCACTATGTAAAACTTGCTGTAGGAAAATCACTCTGATTTGTTACTCTGATGTTCCTTTAGACAGGCACATGGTACATACATACTTAGCTGCCCATCTGTCTTTAATCTTGTGCTACATTTGGAGCAGAGCTGGACTATGTGCATGATCAGCCTGAGCAACATTTCACGCCACCCTTAGCTTCCCCAGACTTTCATGGCCATGCTTTGTTCCATCCGGATGTTCTTTCTGATAAGGAAAGAAGGAGAATTAGAAAGAGTTTAGGATAGGGTAACAGAGCCATTGATAGCCCAGAGCCTTCAGAGGATCATGGGGCCAGGGCCATTTCTTCTACTGTAGAGTGACTTACTCTCCAAAGGCTGAGCTGTTATTTTCCTGCCTTCCACCTGTGCCATGTGTGGCTTTCCATGGTTTCTGTATTGGAGAATGGACTGAGCCATCATAGTTTCTCACTGAGAATTCTGGTTGGTGCTGCAGCAAGCTAGCAGCTGAGATGAACAGAGGATGTCTACTCTCTCTGTGTCCTGTAGCCCATTGTGGATGGATAGGCATGCAACCTTGATTCTTAGTTACTTCTCTTTAAAAGTAATTATTATTATTTAGCCAGACATGGTGGCAACAGGCCTTTAATCCCAGCACTCTGGAGGCAGAGGCAGGTGAATCTCTGAATTCAAGACCAACCTGGTTCACAAAGCAAGTTTCAGAACAGCCAGGGCTATTACACAGAGAAACCCTGTCTCAAAAAACAAAACAATAATACAAGTAGTGGGTTTCCTTACAGCATTTTCATGCTTATACTTTATGCTTATACTTTGTTCTGTTTCATCCCCCAGTTAGTTATTGCATCTCCAGAGATCAGTATTGTAGCTCTTAGGAAGAAAGTTGCTTACCAATCACTTTTCCAATGGAAAGAATGTCTTACCAAGAGAATACTTGTGGATGGCCAGTAAGCTATGCAGGATGTTCAACATGAGCCCCTCCCCAAAATCCTCTAGCTCTGGAGCCAACAACCCTGGCAGGGGCAGCCCTTTACAGGGGAGCAATAGTGTCTTGTAATAGGAACCATGAGTACACTGTCGAACATCTCTACTATTTGCCCCATCACTCACAAAGAGAGCAGAGCTCTTGTCCTAGAAAGCAAGCCATTTCAGTTTAGTGCTCGTCTGTTTGACAAGAGATTTCCCCCAGCATTTGCTGTCCCAGGTTTAATTTAATGGACTATTTGCACAGTGGTGCCCTCCCAGCGAAGGGAACTTGGGCTCTAGTCCCACCCCAGTAGCTGTATTGCCGTCTGATCTATCTGCCCTTGGGCAAGGCATTGCCCTGCGAGGTCTCTTTTCATTCTCACCTTCCATATGAAGGTTTAGGGAAGGTGTTCTTCTTTACAGTGGCAGTGACAGGGAGAACAAACCTTAGGTGAACAAGGTGCTCAGGCAGTGTTTGTGCAAAATCTGTACATACACACTGTGATTCACTTGTGAAGTCTCCTTGTTGCTAAGATAACACCATATTTCTGCTTCCTTTCCTTTCAGATGCCAGTATGGACAGAATAGCTTATGATGCTTATTCCCACCCATCACTTCCGAGACATTGAGCGGAAACCAGAATACCTCCAGCCAGAGAAGTGTGCCCCACCTCCCTTCCCTGGTCCCGCGGGAACCATGTGGTTCATCCGCGATGGCTGTGGCATTGCCTGTGCCATTGTCACCTGGTTTCTGGTCCTCTATGCGGAGTTTGTAGTCCTCTTTGTCATGCTGATTCCATCCCGAGACTACGTGTACAGCATCATCAACGGAATTGTGTTCAACCTGCTGGCCTTCTTGGCCCTGGCCTCACACTGCCGGGCCATGCTGACGGACCCCGTGAGTATGTCTGGGCTTGTTTTGACCAGCCCACATTCTGTCCTTCTGGCCCCTGGCATGTTCGTAGCCTGCATGCTCCCCATAGATCTTGGGAATGTGAAAAAAGGACAGCCAAGGCTGGATGGAAAAGTGAGCTGCCTCTTGTTAGCGTTTTTTGGGACTCTGACCGGGGAAGAGGGCCGATGCCTGTATTAAAGCATATGGGGTAGGTTGAATGGCACTGTCTACACTGCTGTATGTATTTGTTGATCCTGCTGTGTCAAGGGAGGGAAAACCAGCCTCTGTTTGGAGGATGCAATCAGATAACCTTAGAGACTGGGCCAGATGGTCGTAGCAGAAAGCATTCTAGGGGAAAGTGAAGAAAAAGAGGACTTAGTTGGATTGGCTTGATGTTGCAGCCACATCCAGTTTCAGGACCTGCATGAATTTAGCCTTCACTTAGCTTGCACAAGATTCCTCTTTTTCTTGGTTGAGTAGAGTGGCACACACCTCTGCCCCAAGGAGGCAGAGGCAGGTAGATGCCTGTGAGTTCGAGGCCAGCCAGAACTACATAATGAGACGCCTTGTCAGGGGGAAAAAAGATTCTTTTTTTCCTGAAAAGCTGACCAGGCCTGTTTGGCACAATAGCAGACACCTCTGGGTATCTGTGGGTAAAACTTGTTCCATTTAATGACTTAGATAAATATATCAAGTGAGGCAAAGGCCCCTGAATGTTTTTTATACCCTGATGTTAAACCCTTCTGACTTTTCATTGTGTTGTATGGTAAACAACCACATGGGTAAAAGCCCCCCTGTGGATGAACTGTTTTGGTATGTGGGTGGTCACCATTAAATTGAGAAAGAGAAAGTTCTGCTAATGGCCACACAGTTTCTGTGAGCCCCAGAAAAGCAAAGCACAGACCACAGGCCTGAGTCAGTTCCCTTCTTGAAAATGGATTGTTAATCCCTCCCAAGGAAAGGCAGCTTCCTCCTGGCTCAGTTACCTGTGTGGCTGGTCCAGATAGAACCGCCCAAGGCTTCATATCCTGGGGCCTGTGGACTGGTGCTGATGTTACTTACCTACAGGAGAGTAGAACAATCACCACCTGAGGAGGTGAAGCCCTTGGGTTCTTGAAAGTGCCCCATACACAAGGGTATAAAAAAGCTTAAGAAAACTAAGGATTTATTCAGGAATTTGTGTGATGCCCTTGCTGTTGGAGATAATGGAGGAAATTACATTCTTCCTCTCAGCTCACAGTTTAGTACCAGCTCTCCCATCAAGATGCCTCTATTGAAAAGACAGGTGAGGACAACCCTGGCAGAGGAAGTGTAGCTTTCTGTGGACAAGGGAGGGTGTCAGCCAATCATAGGTTGGTGGTGAGAGGTGAAGAGCGGAGGGTCGAGGGAGCCTCCTGTGCAGAAAAACAGGCAGTGGCTCCTTTGAGCATTTGGTTGTTGGGATGGGAAGACCACCAGGGATATGGATTTATCTTTGGTGTCTGTGTGGTTATGAAAGAAGAAACATAGGACAGGAAAGAGTCTAGAGCCCCAAGAAATTTTTTTTTCAAGATGGGTTCTCACTATGTAGCTCTAGAACTCACTCTGTAGCCCAGGCTGGTCTCAAACTCACAGAGGTCTGCCTGCCTCTGCCTCCCAATTGCTGAGAGTGTGTGTGTGCTACTGAGTTTGGCTGTAAGAATTCTTAACTAAAGAGTGACAAGACCAGAGTATTACTGGACAAGGATGGCTGTAGCAATAATGTGCAGGGCCCTGCTGGGCACTGATGGGTGGATGAACAGTTGTGTTGACTGGGTGCCAGCCCTGCAAAAGATTCCTTCATGAACAGCAGGTACCACTGAGAAAAAGGCAGACAGAACCCCTGCCCTCTGGAACTTCATATTCCAGTGATAAATGAGGTCATGGCTGTAATTGCTAATTGCTGTAAGGACAGCAGAACAGCAACAGGAGGGTGTGCTGGGCTTTAAAGGGGCACCCCATTAGGCCAGGATAATCCAAGAGGGCCTCTCCGTGGTGATGCCATCGGAGCTGACTTGAATAACATGAAGCTGAAAGCCAGGGCATGAGAAGATTTGCAGGCAGATTTAGGCAGAAGAGAAAAGAGGTGCAGAGACCCGAGCATGGAGTGTGAGACTAAAGCATGGTGAACAGGGAGAGTGGAAAGGGCCACGAGGCAGGATCATGCCAGACCTTAGGTGGATAGGTGTAATGGCGTTGTGTTTGTAGTCAGGTTCAGGTGGGAGTTGCAGAAGAATGAGACTGGGGCATTGGCAGTGGTTTAGGGAAGACATGGCACTAGCTTGGATGTTGGTAGAAGCAGAAAAGCTGTTGGATTTGGAGCTTATTTAAGCCACTGATTCATTCTTAAGTCTGGCTACACAGTAAGAATTCCTTAGGGAGTTTTTTAAAGTACTGGTGACTGTCCCCTGCCCTCAGGGGTTCCACTCTAATCAGTCTTGGGGCAGAGCTCTAGGTATTGACACACTTGAAAATGCCCCTGGGTCCCTTGAATTCAACCAGGGCTGAGAAAAGCTGACAAATGGAGATTGATCACAAAGGAAACCTTCAGCTTGGGCAGGAACAACTGTGGATGCTAGTGCCACTTGTTGCATGAGAAAGGATAGTAAGGAATAGATTTAGGAGGCCAAACCAAAGCTTCTCTGTGGCAAAACTGCCAGATATTAGGTACAAGAAGAGAGATTAGGTGAGCCAGTCGGGATCGGAGGGTGGAAGATAGACTTATTGTTGTATAGAGGGCTGAGGAGCGGGATGTCACCAGAAAGCTCCTGCTGGCACTTGGGCTGCCGTCACAAACCTGTGCTTTCCTCCTTACTGTATGGAAGCTTCTCCAGGGACCTATTCAGGCAGCCCTGCAGAAGAATTTTTTTCTGATTTTTACCTTCTTTTGTGACTCAGCTTCCAATCCTAGGTAGCAATCGTAGGTTTCTTTCCTGTTGCTGTGATAAAATGCCCTGACAAAAGCAATTTGGGGAAGAATTTATTTTAGCTCAAAGTTCAGGTTACAGCCCATTATAGCAGAGAAGTTAATACAGTAGACAGTCAAAAGCAGAGAACATTAAACAAATGCATGTGTGCTGTGCCAAGCTTACTTTCTCCACTCTTACACAGTTCAAGACCTAAACCCAAGGAATGAATGATGCTGTCTGCTTTGGAGTAGGTCTTTCCACATCAACTAACGTAATCAAAAGTTATCTCCCCCATCCCTCAGACATGTTCAGAGGTCAACAGGATATAGACAGTCCCAAATTAAGACTATCTTCCAGGTGATTCTAGACTGTGGCACTTAAAATTAACCATCACAGTAGGCAAGAGCCACAGTCCTGAGTACCAAGTAGCTCTCCATAGATATAAATGAAGAATCTGCCGTAGAACTACCATGAGTGCGGCAAACATTTCAAAACAAGCCCCATCACAGGATCTTCATGCTTCTGTCTGAAGCACGTGATGACTTATGAAACCCCCTGTGTAAAACAGTGAAGTGGAGCTGTAGAAGTAAGGCCTGCAAGGTACCACCAGGGCACACTAGCTCCTAGGAAGCATAGTCTGGAGTCCAGATCTCAGGTCAAACACAGATCAGCTAAGGACTTCTTGTTAATCAGCAAATGGAATCTGTTTCTAGTGTGGAGTCACGGTGTGTTCTGGGAAGTTTCCTAATGGAGAGGAGATGATATTTTATATCTCAAGAATTTGTATTGTCCATAATTTAAACAGCATTTGCGTTATGTCATTTTGGTTAGCACTGAAAGGGGTGCGGGGGGAGGTAGAGGAGGGAAGGCAGGAGAAGAGGTATCACGGTCGGCCACTAGGTAGTTACTGTACCATTTCCAACTTGTACCTTTTCACTCCAGATGTCACACCAGAGCAGTTAAGCCATGACGGCTTTCTGGACCATCCATCAGTTAGTTGTTGACTCGAGCACAGCAGTAGTTGAATCCACACAGCAAGGGGAAAAGAGAAATTACTTCCAAGTGTATGAAAAGCAAAAATGGTACCATTTGAAATTGGGGAAGAAACAGGCCTTTCAACAGAGAGAGGACAGCTGGACCAAGAGGCACATGGACGCCTCCCTCATACTCTGGGCTGGAGGTGTGTGATGAGAACGGATCATGCTGTGTGCTCTTCTTGCCCACTCTGAGGTTGAGTGATGTCACCCATAGCACTTTGCTATGTTCTGGAAATCTGGAATGATTCCACAGGAACTCATCCTGTGGTTATTTCCCCAGTTCCAGAGTGTATCTATCATTGGGTTAGATATACTGGAGTTGGCAGAATTCCTACATTGGTTCTCTAACCTGTGGAGTGAGAGCAATTATGGTTGAAAAGCCAAATGGAATCCATTGGAGTTGCAAGGAAAATAGTGAACCCAAACCAGTATCTCTGGAGGAACTGCAGAAATTAGTGCCACCATCAAGGACATGAAAGATACAGGAGTGGTGGTTCCTACCACGTCATCTTTTAACTCTCCTATTTGACCTGTGCAAAAGAGATTATGGAGAACAATAGTTGACTATCACCAACTTAATCAAGTAAGTGATTTTGACTGCAGCTGATGTACCACATGTGGTGTCCTTACTTGAGCCAGTTAACACATCTCCTGGTGTGTGATATGCAGCTTTTGATCTAGCAATGCCTTCTTCTCAGTACCTGTCTGTAAGGACCCCCTGTAGCATGAATCTTAATTGGTCTTAACAATAACCTGGAGTCAGATATCAGGGTGAAAGCTGAAAGATCAGAGAAGCAGAGTAGCCAGCCACTAGTTCTTACCTCTACAAAATCCTCAGCCTGAAAGAACCTGAGCTCCTGTCTCCTCCCGCCTTATATTCCTCTCTCCGCCCAGCCATATCACTTCCAGTCTCCACCTCCCTAGTACTGGGATTAAAGGCATGTGTGCCTCCCAAATACTGGGAGCAAAGGCATAAGATCCCAAGTGCTGGGATTAAAAGTGTGTGCCACCACTGCCTGGCCTCTATGGCTAACTAATG